CAATGTCTGTAAAAGGATAGGCAAGAAACTGATTACATTTGGAGAAAATGAGATAGGAACTAGATAGTAACTTTTCACCAGGTTCTTTTTGTACCCCTTTTCTGTCTTTTTTTTTTTTTTTGTGGTACTGGGGATTGAACTTAGGACCTTGGGCTTGCCAGGCAAGTGCTTATTCTACTGAGCTATTTCCCTGACCCATACCTTTTTAATTTAATCCATAATAAGTATATTACTTAGTGAAATGTAAATTAAATCCATTCACTTAACTTTTTTTTGAAAAATCTAATTGTTACTGTTAAATCAGTCTCATTTTTAGTTAGTATGAATTATTGTGGTTTTTAATCAGAAGAAAAAGCATGGGATAGTTCATTTTCAGTTATCCAAAATGACTAGAGGATATGGGATTCTGAATAAATTGTATTTTGATTAACCTGAAGCAATAGATTCCAAATGTTTTTTGAAAATATTTCTCATCCATTTTCTTACTGTAATGGCATGTTAAACTTACAGAATCTCCATTTTCAAAGACATTACAGAATGTGGAGATCACTCTTATAGTTAGCATGTAAAAGGTGTGAAAAATTATTTGAATACATACAGACCTTAGCATATACATCCTGGAAGACTTTTTTTACAAAGCCAACAGTCACAAGAAGCAAAGTATATTAAGTTTTGTGTGCTAATGGTATTTCTTAAGAATTGAGATCTGGGTAAAGAAAAAATGGAAGAATTCTGGTTTTATATTTCTGATAATCTTGTTAATCAAAATTTCTGAACAGATATATATGGTAATTTTATGTTTTGATTATACATCTTTCATAATGAGAATTTATTGTCACTTTTGGTATTTTTAGGATTTGGAGTGGATCAGTTACGAGATGACAATCTAGAAACTTACTGGCAATCAGATGGCTCCCAGCCTCATTTAGTGAATATTCAGTTCAGGTAATAAATTTTTGAAATTCTTATGAACAAATAGAGTCATCTGTTTTATTTATGTAAAATTTTAAAAAAAATATAGAAATTAAAAGAAATATACCTAACTCTGCTTCTAAGCTCTAAGACTTTTTTTTTTTTATTTAATGTTATTGGTACAGGGTCTCACTATGCAGCTTGGACTCACAGTGATCCTCCTGTCTAAAACTAGTTTTGGCTCAAGTAGATTACAAGCATTTTATAAATTTCTTGTGCCTTGTACAGTTTTTTAATGTAGTTGTTTCTCAAATACATTTTCCAACATGATTTATGTTTTAGAAAATGCTTTTAGAAAAATATATTTTGCTTATGACTTGTTACAGTGCCTTGATTTATTCCATCTTGGAAACGTGGAGTGATGATGTTAAGTTTTTCAGCTGTGGAGTATTCATGTAACATCTCAATTTGAACTACAATTTAGAGAAACATTATTTTAACTTGGAACCTCTAAAGACATCTTCAACTTGAAAATGCTTAGTTTTTTTGAGAAAGGAAAATAACTGTGTCTTTATCAATTGATCTGGGTTTTTGTTGGTTTGTTGTTTATTAAGAAAGGGTCTTACTATGTAATTCAAGCTGACCTTGAACTCAGAATGTAGCGGAAGTTGGCCTTGATCTCACAGCGATCATCCTGCCTCAGCCTAAGTTTTGGAATTATAGGCATGCACCGCCACATTCAGAAACTGACTAGAATTTATTGACATAGATGGAACCAGTAAATTTTTTTTTAGCTTGCTTCACTTATATATGTTAACATTCTGTTGCCTTCTATTTTTGTTGTTATTATTGTCCTAGAGTACAAATCAACAAATGTCGATTAATACAGCCAGGTAGTAAATACTTCAATCCTTAGGTGCTTGCTTTTCTCCCTTGCAAATAAAACTCTGTATGGAAGGGCTATGTGCCGTGCCAGCCCCGCCCCCGGGTGCTCTGAGAAGGCAATTGAGACAGGGCGTGGTGACGCAGGCCAATAGTCCCAGCTCTTGGGAAGCTGTCAACAGGCAGATCACTAGGAGTCTGATCTAGTAGTGAGACCCTGAACATCCTGTAGACCCTTCCCTAAAATACAGAAGAAGGAGAAGGAGAGCTATAGGAAAAACAGATAATAATAAAAGTAGGTCATACTGATTACCCTTATTGAGCATTTATTGTCAGATATATTATCTCACTGAGAGCTTAAGTTTAATATTTAATAGGGTTATAAATATGTATCATCTTGCAATCCATATAACAACCTTTTTGGATGTGTGTTCTATTATATTTTTCATTTTGCACTTAAATAAACAGACTTATAAATTCCTCAGGTTCTATGCCAAGGAGTTATAGAGTTAGAATTTGATCCCAGATGGCTAGACTTCACAGGCTGGGTTTGTAATTAGTACTCTGAGCTGCTTATAAACAGAGGTGTAGCTGGTCTCATTAAAACAGTCCAGAACTTTAGGTCCTTTCTTAGCCCTTGCCCCACTAAGGAAACCTCAGACTTGAGGAGGACATTTACTTTTTATAGTGTTTTTTTTTAAGCAATAAAAACAATTACACAGTTTCAGAACAATATAACAGAAGATTAACAATGGTTAATACAAATTATTGAATCTATCCTACTAACCTATTTTGAAACTGTCTCCTTGCTATTTGTTTCTCAATAAAATTAATAAAAATAAATAAATAAATGGTTAATACATTGTGTATTGTTGTCTTCAAAGTAGTTGCTCAGATTATAAGATAATAGGCATGAAAGATTAATTGCACAAACCCTTTTTTTTTTTTTCTAATTTTAGGGAAGGGTCTACAGGGTGTTCAGGGTCTCACTACTAAATCAGACTCATAGTGATCCACCTGTTTACAGCGTCCCAAGAGCAGGGATTACTGGTGTGCGACCCCACACGCAGTCTCAATTGCAGTCTCAGTGTGCCTGGGGGCGGGGCCAGCATGGCAGGCCCTGGGATTGACAAACCCATCTTTTAAATGAACTAATAGAGATTAGTAGTATATTTATCTTAGCTGTAGTGCATGTGTGTGTGTACGTGTGTACATATATATTTTTTCTTTTTTTCTCTTCCCCTTTTCCCATCCTGTTCTTTCCTTTTGAGCAGTTTCTTCCCTTTTCACAATATTGTACATTTTGGATCATACTTTTTTAGATTCTGTTTTATTTAATAGAAGGGAGACAATATATTTATACATACAAGTCTGATTTATTTCACTTAGGAGTATGGTCTCAAGTTGCATCTATTTACCTATAAAAGCCTCATATCTATCCTTTATAATTGAAGGCAATCCTGGGCAACAATGGCAAGGCAGGAGGCGTTATAATCCCTGACTTGAAATTATACTACAAAGCTATTGTTATAAAAGCAGCATAGTATGGGCAAAAAAACAGACCTGTAGATCAGTGGAGCAGATTAAAAGATGCTGACACAACTACAAACACATTCATCTACCTTATCTTTGACAAAGGGGCCAAACATGTTCACTGGAAAAAGATAGTTTCCTTAGTAAATGGTGCTGGAGGAAGACATTTTAAAAAAGTGTTTTAGAAAAGGGGAGATTTGTTAAGAATTTTGAAATAGAATTATAAAGAAGTGCAAGTATGGTACAACTTTTTTTTTTCTAAGTCGTTTCAGAATAGGTTGCATTATTTCATATCTGTGGAATACTTTAATAGGTCATTTCTATAATATTTTGTTCTGTAGAAAATTATTATTTTCTTTGAGACAAACTTCTTACTGTAGCTCAGGCTGGTCTTGAACTCATTGTGTTGCCAGCTACCTTCAAACTCATGGCAATCCACCTTTCTCAGCCTCCTGAGTGCTGGGATCACAAACATATGCCATCATGTCTGGCAAGAAATTAAATTTTGATATTACCATTTACTTTTATATTTTATGTTCAGATTATACCAGTTCCCATAAAGTTGAATCAGGTTAAATTTTATGGCCAGTTTCTTTTTACTTCCTTTTGATCTGGAACAACCATATCTTCATTCTTTCCTGACTTTCACTATCCTGACACTTTTGAAAATTATAGGCCATTTATTTTAATGAGTGTCCCTCAAGTTGAATTTTTCCGTTATTTCTTCATGAGTAACTAACTTTAGGTTATACATGTGGGAAAACAGCACAGAGGTCATGCTGTATCCATTTCATTGTGTCCTGTCAGGTGTGGTGTATGAATTTGATTTTCCCCAATTACTGGTGATGTTTGCTTTTATCACATGCTAAGATAGTGTTGGTCAAGCCTATCCCACTATAGGAAAGTTACTCTTCTACGTTTACAGTTAATGTGTAATTTTTGGTACTTTGAGTATCTTACTCCTCATTTAACTTTCATTTTATCCAAATTAGAGTTTTTACTTTTGTTCACTGGGTTATAATTATTGCTACTATTTTTTTTTTTTTTTTGTTTCTGTGCCCAAATTGTCCCAGATTTGGCATTGGGAGTCCCTCCCAGGTGGCTGTATGAATTTTTGATATGTGCCCATGACTATTTGAATATTTTCTTACTTTCTAGCAACATTTTGTGGCTTGGCCTGGGAATCAGGTTTTTCTCCAAGAGTATCTGGTTTATTTTTGTGGAATATAGTACATAGAGACACATCTGGGGTTGGATATGCTCTTTGCTATTGAAAGAATATTGCTGTTCCTGAGCCTTTGTAGCGGACAGAGTTAGGGAATATACGTAGGTCACGCACACATGTAAATTGAATCCAAAATAAGTAGCATTTATTTTCATTTTCTTTCTTTCCATCTTATAAATAACTTCTTTTTGTTTGTATTTGGAGATAGAGTCTTGCTATGTAGTCCAGGCTAATCTTAAACTTACTATACACTCCAGGCTAATCTTGAACTTGCTATATAATCCAGGTTGGCCTTAAACTCTTGCTCTTTCAATGTCATCATTCCAAGACCTGGGATACCAGGAGTGTGCCACCATGCTTGCCTCTGATATCCTTTTAATATAATTATTTATTTCATTAGTCTCCCTGTATATGATCATTCTTGGATTCTTATTATTCTCTTTCCTGCATACAGGCCTCTTCATTCCACTGAGGGTCTGAGCTTTCTTGTGCAGTTATTTTCTTCTTTCTACTCTTAGCCTTGTGAAAATACCATCTTTCTCCAAATGAGTCTGGCACATTGTGTCAGTTACTCTCTTATGGATTGCTGTCCTCCATTCAGTGGGCCTTAACCCTAATCCTAACTCTTAACTATAGGTTATATTTCTTACTAGATTTTGCTTTAGAACCTCACATGATAGTGTGAACCACTTTTTAAGTTTCTGGACTCTGACACTCTGTAACAGATTGTCCCATAATGTGGGCACTTATCTGGCTTACTTCATTTCATGCAGTGTCTGATACTCTGCATTAGGCTACTCTTTCCTCCTATGGATGTTCTTCAGCCTGACAGTGCAAATATTACAGTTTTGTGGGGATACCTATCTTGTTTGGTCCCTTTTACGGGCCTCAAGACTAAATTATTTAAGAGAAACACTGAAGTTTTTGTAAATAAAATTTTTATTTATTTTTTAAAGTGAACCAAAATTTTTATTCATTCATTTCTTGCATTTGAAGTATTCTTCGATGACATCCTTGGCCTGTGATTCTTTGCCTTAACCACTACACAACTGCAACCAGCCACTTTACGGGGTTTTCCCTCACAGTCAGTCTTACAGAGGCCTACCCATTCCCCGTTTCTTGTTGTCATCAATCTTAATTAGGTTGATTTGGTGCTCAGCACAGAGGGCCTCCGCTAACTTTACATACATAGGCTCATCGCAGTTAGATGCAAGTACACAGAGATGTACTTGACGCTTGTCTAAGGCTTCGGTGGCTTCGCGAATTCCACGCACAAGGCCATCGTGGATGAGGTCGTTCTTCAGCACCTCTTATAAAGCAGTATTGATGTCCATTACACCTCCAGCAGCAATGCCTTCTTTGGCCATGGCGGCGGGTTACGGGTGAAACCGAA